GCGAAGACAGCCTGGCACATTTTGCACGATGCCCGATAATTCGTAGGCTGTCTCCCTCGCACCTCGGTGGGCCACCTCCGGCTCCAGAGTGCGCCCTGGATTTTTTATTTTGCATGTTTCCCAGCATGGGTTCGGACGTGTTGCAGGACGACTCTCTTGTCTTGCAGCGTGCTCTTTCCCTCTACGCCCTCTTCCGGCTTCATGACGGCATCCGGCACCGCCAGTTTTTCCCCTCCGAGTTCGAAGGGGCACACAACAGGTTCCTCCGCGAAGGGGCGCGATAACCTGGTTCTGAAGATTTCCATAGTTACTTGAACTATTAGGTCCTCCCTCCCGCTTTGATTGGGGCGAGGGGTGCAATCTATATTTACTTTCTCCTCTCCTTCTCTGTGTGTCTCTCTCTCTTTCTCTCTTCCTCCTCCTGCCCCCCTCCCGCTGTGTCGACATATTTTCTCGCTTGGAGTAGGGCTCCAAGAGCATGGCCGGACTTTGAAGATGTCTCAGTTGTGGTATTGGTGTCTCCAGGACCGCCCTGATACCAGTTTTGCCAGCTTGCGAGGTCATCCATTCTGTCCGATTCGTCCCCTCAGCTTTCCTCCTCCTTCTCCCCCCCCCCAAAGAAGTGTGTATGGACTGCCCCTCCCCTGTGGCTTGAATCCTATGTGTTTTACGTTATGTGCCTATGTATTGCCTCTCTCTTGTGGCTTGAATCCAATGTATTTTGCGTATGTGCCTATAGCTTGCCCCCTCCTGTGGCTCGACTCCTGTGTGTTTTACGTCTGTGCCTATATATTGCCTTTCTCCTGTGGCTCGAATCCTATGTGTTTTACGTATGTGCCTATGAACTGCCCTGCCTACATAATGCCTCTCTCGTCTGGCTCGAATCCTATGTGTTTGGTGTATTTGCCCATGAATTGTTCTCTCCCGTGGCTCTGTCTATGGATTGCTCCTCTCCCGTGGCTCGAATCCTGTGTTTTTAATCTATGTTCCCTCAGGCTGCCGCTCTCCCGTGGCTCGTGTGCTCCTACAGATGCCCAGAGAGATGTGGACTGTGTGGGCCGTTGAGTTCTTGCGGCCCTTCCTGGAACGGGGGGGACCGAACGACTCCTCGGTCCACACGGTCTACTGAAATCTCCCTTTGGGTGCAGAGGGGATCGTGGAGTTTCGTCATAACCACCGGCATCATGATACTCACAACCGTCATCAACAAGATCATCCTTATCGTTTGCACATGTGGAACATCTGGAACTGCCCACACCCGAGCTGCTGTTCGTGTGCTCTGCTGGGTTACTTCCTCCTGCGGTGTCTTTCGCCCCTCTTGGAGTTTGGTGGCGGGCCCCAGCGGCCGAACGCTGCCAGAGACGTGCCGTCGTGAGGGTGCTTGGGCCGACCCTCGATCCCCACCCTCGATCCTCGAGCCCTGATCCTCTCCCTCGATCCTGGATGCCCGCCCTCGCTGCTCGACCCCTGCTCCTGGCCCTCGGTCCACGATCCTCTCCCTCGATCGTCGGCCCCCAGTCCTCACCTCGATCCCCGACCCAGGTCTCGAGCTGAACGGTGCTTCGGCGATTTCGTGGACCGTTTTTCTCTTGATCTCGTTTCGCAGCAAAGGCAGAGCGAAGACAGAACCAATGAACACTAAGACAGAACGACAATTCTTGACGCGAGCTCTGGGGGCCCTCTCGGGGCTCTCTTGGGCACCCTGGAAAGCTTCTTTGGATCATCTTGGAGACCATCGATTAAAGGATGGGATGGGGGGGAGTCCCCAACTCAGTTCCCCCCTCAGAGGCCCGCACACCGCATCTTGGGGCTCTCTTGCGGCGCTCTTGGGTGCTCGTGGGGCCGTCTTGGGGCCCGTTTGAGACCCCCTTGGAGCTCTCTTGACGCCCCCTTAGGGCCCTCGTTGGAGCCCTGGAGGCCCTCTTGGGGCCATCTGGGAGGCTGTCGATCCAAAAGAGGGGTTCCTTTATCTCCGTCCCCCCTCTGGAGCCCTCAAAACCGTCTCGCGGGGCGCTCCTGGGGTCCCCTTGGGGCGCTCTTGGGCGCTCATGGGGCCGTCTTAGCGGCCTCTTGGGCCCCTCTTGAGGCCTTCTTGGGCCATCTTGGGGCCATCTTGAGGTCTCAGAAGCGTATCGGAAGCGAAAAGGCGCGAAGGCACAAATCCTTAATTTTGGGCTCTTGGGAGGAGTCCTGAGGGGTTTCCCAGAGCACTTGGATCCGTATTGTGGCCCTTTTGGGGCTTCTTGGAGACATATTGTTCGCTATCTTGAGCCATGTTGGGCTCTATTGAGCGATCTTGGAGGCCACCCTGGACTCCCTGAGGCCCTCTTCGAGCGATCTTGGGCCATCTTGGACGCTCGAACTCCTCGCGAAACGCCCCGTCCAGGTCGGGGGGAGGAGGTGGGGGGAGGGGTCAAGACTCCCTCCCCGCCCGCAAGCCGTCTCCCTCACTCCCACCCGCCCTCCCAACACATACGTAGGACCCGAGCCTGCCCCGAGCCTCAGCATATTCAGCAGTCGTCTTTGGATGGGCAGCCACTGGGGGCGCATCCGCCGCCGCCGCCGCCCCCGCCGCCCGCCGCCGCCCGCCGCCGCCGCTGCCGCCGCTGCCAAATCGCCACCGTTGCCGAATTGCCGCCGCCGCAGCCGCTGCCGCCGCAGCCGCAGCCGCTGCCGCCACCGCTGCCGCCGCCGCCGCCGCCGCCGCCGCCCCCCGCCGCCGCCGCCGCCACCGCCGCCGCCGCCGCACCGCCGCAGCCGCCGCAGCTGCCGCCGCCGCCGCCAAGTGTACTCTGTTTGGTTTTTTGACAAAGATGCTGGGGGGAGGCCGCATCGGGTTTGCTGCGCATTCTCCGAATATTGGAGGTAGAGTGTGTTTTGTATAGTTTTGTGCAAGGGATGGTGGGGGGGTGCCCGCATTTTTCTTGGTTGGCTGCCAGTCGCCTGGGGGAGGGGGTGTATGTTGATAAGGAAGAGTGATCAAGACTCCCTCCCCGCCCGCAAGCCGTCTCGCTCACTCCCACCCGCCCTCCCAACACATACGTAGCACCCGAGTCTGGCCCGAGCCTCAGCATATTCAGCAGTCGTCTTTGGATGGGCAGCTACTGGGGGCCTCTCCGCCGCCGCCGCCGCCGCCGCCGCGCCGCCCGCCGCCGCCGCCGCCGCCGCCGCGCCGCTGCCCGCCGCCGCCGCAGCCGCGCCGCCGCAGCCGCTGCCGCTGCCGCCACCGCCGCCGCCGGCGCCACCGCCGCCGCCGCCCCCGTCGCCGCCGCCGCCGCCGCCGCCCCCGCCGCCGCCGCCGCCGCCGCCGCCGCCGCAGCCGCCGCAGCCGCCGCAGCCGCCGCCGCCAAGTGTATTGTGTATTGTTTTTTGACAGGGATGGTGGGGGGAGGCCGCATCGGGTTGGCTGCGCATGCTCCGAATTTGGAGAGAATATGTTTTGCATGGCTTGTTTTTCAAGGGATGGTGTGGGGGCCCTCGTGGTTCTGGGTTGGCTACCATTTGCCTGGGGGAGGGGGTGTTTATTCATAGGGAAACGATAAACCCCTCCCGGAAGGGGCAGAAAAGGGTTTTTGGATGAGGAAAGAAGAGTTCTCTGGACCCCCTGTCGCCCAGAGGGCCGGTGAGACTAAAAGCACCGTTCAGTTGGAGCCCTGCCCCGACCCCTCACCCTCGATCCCCACTCCCCGACCCTCGACCCCTCGAGGCTTCTTTCCCGTCGGACGACGCCGGGTGCATGCTTGCACCGCCCCTGGCCAGGCGCCCCCCCCAGGCCCAGGCTCGGGGCGCACGTCCTCCTGGCCTGGCCGCCAGGACCAGCCTGGCCAGGATCGGTGTGGGTGTACCGGAGACGCATACGCGGTCACGCGCAGGAGGGGGTTTGGGGGTGGGGGAAGGCTTCAGAGAAGCACCCCTGCTTCCCAGAAGGCTCGGACCTGTCTGTAGATGCAAGGTCGGCGCCTTCCAAGAAGCAGCCTCCTTCCAAGAAGCCTTCCCCCCTCCGCCTGCCGCCCTGTGCGCGTCGCCAGCCTACGGCGAGTCGCTTCCGCCTCCTGCCTTTTGGAAACGCCCATGCGACCAAACGTTGGGCCGAAGTCAGGCCAAGTTATTGGACCATTTGTTGCCCAGCCGTCGTGGATCTCCTTGGGGGTACACGGGGGAGGACGAGAAAGGGGGAGGAGAGGGAGGAGAAGGCGGAGGAGGAAAAAGAGGAGGCCTCTTGAGCCCCTCTTGGGGCTCTTTGGGATTTCCTGTCCTGGGAGCATTTGGGGGGGCATTAAGGGGCATTTTGGGGGCCTCTGATGGCGTCTTGGGGGTCTCCTGGGACCTCTCTCTCGGGGACCTCGATCTCGGGGCCCTGCCTGGGCAGTCGTGGGACCGTCTTTGGGCGCTTGAGTGCCGTCTTGGAGGTCTCTTGGGCTGTCTTGGGGGCGTCTTGGGGGCCTCTTGGGCTGCCTTGGGGCCTTCTTGGGCTGTCTTGCGGGCCTCTTGGGGACCTCCTGGGCGTTCTTGGCGTGATCTTGGGGGCTTATGGGGCCCGTCTTGGAGCGTCGGAAGCCCGAAAAGGCGAGAATGCTAAAATCAGCCGATGCAGTTGAGGGTCTCTTGGGATGCGTCTGGGGGGACTAGGAGGGCTCTTGGGGGCTTCTGGGGGGCCTTTTGGGGCCGGGGGCCTCTTGGACTTCTTGGGGCCTCTTGGGGCGTCTATTGGGGTCCTCGGGAGCCTCTGGGGGGCTCTTGGGGCCATCTCAGCGCGGAAGGCTCGAACTGTCCGTCTGCGTTCCCCCTCTCGGGCCCCTCTTGGGGCCCTCCTGGGTGCCTCTTGGGCCGTCTTGCGGGCCTCCTGGGCCGCCTTGCGGCCCTCCTGGGCCGCCCTGGAGCGTTCTCAGAGTCCTCCAGAACCCCGACCAGGGTCGGTGTGGCTGCACAGAAGGGACGCCCTCCGACCCCTGCGCCACTGCGCCGCCCCGCGGGCGGCCGCCCGCCCGCCCGCGCTCGAGGGCGTGCTGCTGGCGTGCGCGGTGGCCGTGGTCACCTGCGGGCTCGTGGGCGCGCGGGTGCGCCGCCCCCCCCCCTGCTCGGCCGCCCCCGCTGCCCGGCCTCTCCGCGCCCCCTTCCTGCACCGAGGGATGCCAGACCCCCTTCGCGCGGTGGAGGATCTCCGGACAACGAGACGGTCCCACTCAGCACAACGCTGACGACAGGACTGGTTCCTCGCGCGGATACAGGGACCAGTGGAGTTACGACAGGTCCTCAGACCGCCGGGCCACGCATTCTCGCGACGACGCCTGGCGTCACCAGGACATGCGCACGGGAAACGACGGGATATTGTTTAAGAGGGGTGGGGGAGACTCGTGGTGTTCGGAGTCGGCTGGGGGTCGGAGGTGGCCCAGCACTGGTTCTGGCCAGCAGGCAGGGGGGGGCAGGTTCGAGGTGCTGGGTTCGGGCCGTTTTTTTTGTGGTGGCGCTGTTGCTGTTGCTGTTGCTTTTGTTATTATTGTTGCTGTTGTTGCTGCTGCTGCTGCTGCTGCTACTGTTGTTGTTGTTGTTGTTGTTGTTGTTGTTGTTGTTGTTGTTGTTGCTGTTGTTGCTGTTGTTGCTGTTGTTGCTGTTGTTGTTGTTGCTGTTGTTGTTGTTGTTGTTGTTGTTGTTGTTGTTGTTGTTGTTGTTGTTGTTGTTGTTGTTGAACTCTCATTTCTGAGAATAAGTATTGCTGATCCCCCACCGGTGCATGGTGTTTTTTCTCAGCTCGACGCTCGCACCCGGTTTTTTGACAGGGAAAACCTTCCTGGTCAAACTGTGCCCCTGGCCCCCCGGACTACAACAACAACGGCTCCCGCCTGAGACTTTCTCCAAATTTACTCAGGACCTCCCCTGTCCCGTCTGAAACTTTCTCCCAATTTACTTAGGAACGGCGATCCCGCTTGAGACTTCCTCACAATTTAGTCAGGACCCCCGCTCCCATCGGAGACTTCCTCACAATTTACTCAGGAACGGCGTTCCCGCTTGAGATTTTTTATCGCCATTGAGTCAAGATTTCTACGCAATTTAACCAAGACCCCCGCTCCCGCCAGAGAACCCTTCACGTTTTATTCAGGAATTGCGCTCTTGCCTGTGACTTCCATGCAATTTATTCAGAAATCGCGCTTTCGACGCTGGGGAAACACGCTGCGCCAAAGACGCCGTCACAATTTACTTAGGAATCGCGCTTTCGCCATACTCAGGCATGCCGCTTGAATGTCCCACCCGCCCGACCCGCCCGTCAGGGGATCGCCCGCCCGTCGTGGGCTCCCCGCCCGAGACTTCCTTCAGGAACGGCGCTTTCGCCTAGGACTTCCTCGAACGTTCATGCTCTTACCTTCCTGCTCCTCCTCCCCCTCCCTCCTCCCTCCTCCCTCCTCTCCTCCCTTCTCTCTCCCTCCTCTCTTCCCTCATCCTTATGCCTCTCTGCCCTATCCCCTCTCCCTCCTCTCCCTCTTCCCTTCTCCCTCCCCTCTCCTGCCTCCTCCCTCCCTCTTTCTTTCTTTCTTCTTCTCTCTCTACTCTCTCTCTCTCTCTTTTTTTGTTGCTCTCTCTCTCTGCCGCTAATCAACCGCCCCCCTCTTCGCTCCTTCTCTCCTGGCGTTTTCCCTCTTCCTTCATCCTTCCCCCTCCCTTCCTCCCACTCTCCCTCGTTCTCCCCCTCCTCTTTTTGCAGGGCTCACACCAATTCCAATGGTGGGCACATGTGCGCCCACGAAGGATTGTCCGCCCGTTCAGGTTTGCCCGCCTGTCTAAGCCCGCCGCCCCCCGCAAAGACAAAACATCCCCCCAAAGGGGGTGTGATCGAATACCAAAAGGGCGGGTATCGAGGGTGTGGGGAACTCGTTTTGAATGACACACAGGCAAGTAAGAGCGAACAGTCTAATAATGATTGTTGTTGTGGTTGTTGTTGTTGTTGTGGTGGTGGTGGTGGTGGTTGTTGTTGTGGTGGTTGTGGTTGTGGTTGTGGTTGTGGTTGTGGTTGTGGTTGTGGTTGTTGTTGTTGTTGTTGTTGTTGTTGTTGTTGTTGTTGTTGTTGTTGTTGTTGTTGTTGTTGTTGTTGTTGTTGTTGAGTTGTCACTTCTGAAGAATAATTCGGGTTGATCTCCCTGTCCGGGTGCATATGGTTTTCCCAATCAAAGTGTGCCCCTCGACGCTCGCACCCGGCTTTTTGACAGGGGAAATCTTGGTGTTCAAACTGGGCCATTGGCCCCCTGGATCACAACAGCAACGACTCCCGCCTGAGACTTCCTCGAAATTTAATCACGACCCCCGCTCCTGAGACTTCGTCATAATTTACTTAGGCTCGGTACTCCCGCTTGCGACTCGCAATTTAGTCAGGACCCCCGCTCCCATCTGAGACTTCCTTACAAATTACTCGGGAACCGCGCTCCCGCTTGAGACTTCCTCGCAATTGAATCAAGACTTCCTTACAATTCAAGCAAGACCCCCGCTCCCAGCAGAGAGCCCTTCACATTT